GTTGTTTGGCGACAATAGAAACGGTTCAGCTGCGAATCATGGGGGAAAAAATAAAACAAGGATTTATAGACGGTTAGGGTTACGTTTTTAATTTATTTACAATTCCCTAAATACCCTTAACGGATAATTAACTAATAACTCCTCCTTAATTACCTAAAATTGAATCAGCCAATCACAACGCTTTAAGATCCTCCTTTAAAAAAAGGCCTTAAGGACCTGAACTCAGGCTGTTTGGGTACTACAATTTTACAACATTATGATTTGATATTCTTATGGCCAATACTATGGTGTCGGTGTAAAAGTGCGGCATCGGTAACGCGACTTCTTATTGGTCCACGTGGAGCTGATGTGGCATTGGTTTGTTTAATTAATATCAACCAAACCCGAATAACCCGTTGGTAATGGCCCAAACGGCCTGTCCTAAAGTAACGACAGAAGGATTCCGTTGAATGCTTTGTTTTCATGTTTCTGTTTAATTAATTAAATTAAAAACCATGTAAATGCGCTTTCGACAAAATCATAAAACAGAAGGATCGACATCACAGTTCATCGATCTCCCTCGTCGGCGGCCTCTACATAATCGCTCTCGGCGACTTGTCCGTCCTCTATCCCATCTCCTGGGTCTATCTATTTGCTCGGTTGGAATTCATGATTGCACCATCCTACATTGATTTCGAATAACAAAGGCATAGGAATTCTTCGTCTTCCTCCGCCTCTGTCTCCGTGGAATAGCATCGCCGCCAAAGTACCAAACTATCGCAAGTCAAAGAAGAAGAGATTTGCCTCCCTCACCGCCGTCTGTCTTGCTTTTCACCGTACTAGTTGGAATCTTCAAAACCAAGTTCTAGGAGTTATGCGAATTCTCCCCCAGTGCAAAGGTTTTCAGGTAATTCGATTAATCTGTATTTCCCGTTAGAGTTAAGGGTTGCGTATAGATTGATACAATCACCCACGTATTCCGTACATGTGGGTTTGATGGCTGACTAAAAGTTATAGTCAACTAGTTTCATGTTAAATCAAACCAAAAGAAAAAGATCTAGAGTAGAAAAAATGAGAATACAGAGAATGAAGTCAGTGTTACAGTGTTAGTAGTTGCTGCCTGTTGTACAATTGTTCTTGCCCAGCTAACAGAGGTGCATTCTTTCCTCAACTCTAATTAGTGTTTTCTACGCTAAGTGCTTTGGGATACAAGATAGTTCCCCTCAAGGTAGCAATATTACTACTAGTACTAGCAACTAACTAGCAAGGGAGAAGAGAAAATGAGGGGTCAACATGAACCCTCCTCCCTACAGAATTGATCCTGCTCAATTACTCCCATACCACAGCAACTGCCCATGTCGTTATATTCGACATGTTAAGAACCATGGCAACCAACTCATGTCTACTTGTACAACAAATTATCCGACGATTCAGAAGAAGTACAATACATTATCCCAATAACTCGAGTTATTGGGAGAAAATTATTATGGATCTTATATCACTCTCTTAAAAAACATAACCAAGTTCATAGGTGGAAGCAACATGCATGTGAAAATACACATTTTCTTCAACGCCTCTTCCTTGCGATATTAAAATGCATATACTGTCAAGTACTTGCTTTGCATTAGTAATTGAAGTTCCACGCGGGGATGCATAAGGTACTACTTTGGTTGTATATCCATCTCTTAGTTTCTTGGCGCAGCCACTTAGTTTTAGTAGGTGCTAATAGGTGGACTCCATCAAATGTTAGGTGAAGCTGCACTTCACAGAAAAACCACTGGGACACATTGGTAGAAAATCAATGAAAATGAGTAATGGGACACAGTTATATGGTTGATATACTGTTAGGGCTATAACATTGGGATTCGCCCAGCTGATGACTTTGTAGCAAATTCTTACTTCTATATGTGTGTACTTCAAGGAGACAGGTGAAGTAATTGCAAAGGTTAGTGATAGTTTCAGTCGGGTTTTTTCTATGTAGAGTGTGTTAGTTGGAAGCATGATGGGCTATGAATGCTGCAATACTATTGCTTTGGGTACAACCAGCATAGATAGTTGTAATGCAGAGGGTTAACACTTCTAAAAAAATTGGGGTTTGAATCTCTACCGATTTCAGGAGGTAGACAACACGCATTCTAGGTAAACAAATCCTGCTTTACCATCCACTATCTCAGTTCGATGTTCCTTCTTTACACTGATGCTCTGTCTCTCTCTTGCAGGATCGCTATCATCTTGTCTCGATCCTAGGATAATTTTTTGGCAGTTCTGAACTTGTTATGGACACCTATGTTTGAAGTAAGGAGGTTGTTTTTAGAGTTTCTGTCAACAAGGACGTGAGATTTGAGAGCCCCTTGGCTTATGCAGATGCTACCTAGAAAGTGTATATCTTGTATGGAAACCTCTTTGCTGCAATTTTGTATATGTTGTCAATAGATACAGTGAAACAACATATGTGGATGTCCTGGTTTCAAATTCCAAGAGAAGTTTGATGAAATAGGTTCGTGTGTTACCAAACATGTGTTTTGGCCTACATATATCAAATTCTTGAATTGTATTAGCCTATTGTCCAAATTTATGGATGATGGTAATTTTCAGGTGCCAATGTCTGTAAAATGCAGCTCATAGGGGGGAAATAACAAAAAGTCCATGAAAGAAAGTAAATTTGTATTACTGTGATATGGTTAGTCTGGGATGGGGGTTTGAATGGATAAGATATAGCTGAAATTAACTTCTCTGTAACCTCTCCGTAGAGATTTAAACCACAATTTATAAGCAACCTTTGCATTTCGTAACGTATACTTCCTGAATTTGGTGCATTTCCAGCAGACCTTTTCTCAATTCCCAGAAAATTAGAAGCACTTACTAATATGAGTGGTAGAAATTAACTCCAGACCCTCTCCTCGAGGACATTTCAGAAATGAACAAACTGAATCTTGTATTGTTGATAATTAATGTTGCAGACCAAGTCTAGATGAAAATAGTGCAGCTGATTTCAAGATAACAAAAAAGTTAAAGGAAGTCCTAAAACAAGGCAGCCGAAGAAACTAATACAACTTCATTTTCTTCTCATAAACAGAATTAGAAAGAATGACCGAAATCTGACAATTTATCAACAAGCTTTCTCAATCTGAATCGAATAAGACAATGAACATTCTAAAAAATTTGAATAACATTCTCAATCTTAGATCTATGTGATTGAGTATTTCTTTAAAGGTACATAGGAAAGCTAGCAAATGAGTACCAACAACAATTAATCAAACTTGGATTCTTCTGTCCAGTTTTGGTAAAATTCGCTTCAGTCCTTGGTCGCCTTTTTCATGCCCCTGCACCATCAATACTTGTAAGGTATCAAGCCATTTCCAGAAGCCTATCGGATCCCATGTAGTTTTTTTGTCATCTGTACCACAAAAAAAACATACCAAAAGAAGCCACTAATTGTGGCAGTTATAGTAGCTCTGTTAGTCGTCTTGCAAGGAAGATTGTGTGATGGCTGGTGGGTGTCTTGAGGCTAAATGACTTGCTCTTCTCCAGCTCCAAAACCATTACCACTCCAAATAGTTTCGGGTATCTCACTGTGGTGGCTGATAATCACGATCAAGAAGGGGTATCCTTCATCCTTGTACATGAAACTGAAATGTATACCACTTTCCGAAGGAGAAATGCCCCCAAGACAGAGATCGTCGCCTTTGTTTTACAGAATATATGTTGGGGAACGGGAGAGGGAACTCTATGAATGCGGTAGGTAGAGCCTGAAGGTGGAATCGACGACGACGAAGTCACCGTAATGTTGTTGTAGAGTTCGTCGAAGAGGGAGACAGGTTTGGGGATTTAATATCCCACCAAAACTGAAATATTTTGTTTGGCAGCTTCTCGGCAAGGTACTGCCGACTGTTGAAGCTTGCTGGGAGAAGGTAGTTGAGTGCTCCAAGCTTTGTCCTGTTTGTTGGGAACCATTAGAATCGCTTGAGCATTTGTTCCTTTCTTGCAGAGTTTCGGTTGAATTGTGGAGGGGAGTGGCATTGGAGAAGTTAGGCGGGGTTTGGAGCATTTGAACATGGCATTGTTTTTTTCGGCGAGTTCTTTTTGATAAAGGTGATAATGCATTAAAAGGAAAAGAAACCGGAACACATGACTCAGTTCAAATACAGACCAAATGAAAACAAAAACCCACTGGGAGCACAAACAGTGCAACCCAATGACAAAACACAGCCGAAAACAAAAAGAGAAGAAAGGCACAAGGTTGCAAAGCAAACCGAGAATGCCCATCCACCAGAAATCACAACAAAAACCAAACGAGATTCCCATGACAAACCAATCAACAATCCCAAAACAAACCCAAGGAAACAACAGCACATACTCAAACACTCTGCCCAACGTTGGCCATCTGCTACTCTGCCCCTCCAACCAGACACTCAACATCCATTAACGCCACCATCAGAGGAGAAGGGCACCTGAACTCAAGCCCGTCTTGAACGAGAAACCTTCTTGAGAGAGACTCCTCCGATGAATGAATACTGCAGTTTGTCTCGCTTTTGTGGCACATCTGGAAAGGTAGGAATTAGACTCTTTTTTATCATATTCAGTATTGGACATCTATCTTTCTCCGTCAGTATCATGAACAAGTTCGGGAGTGGCTAGCACTTCCTCAACAGCTTCCCCCTACGAGACCAGTGATTGTGAGTCAGGAGGGATAAGGGAGTGCTACGCCATGGTTTGTTTGTTCAGTGGATGGAGAGGTCGCGAAAGGATCACATTCAGCCAGGTAGGGATGGCAACGGGTCGGGTTTTGTCAAACCCAAACCCATGGGTTTATCCTTGAAAAAAAACCGGGGTAAAACCCACTGGGTTTAAAAAACTCAAACCCAACCCAACCCGCTGGGTATCCGTGGATTCATGGGTACCCGAGGGTTTTTGTCGTAAAAAATTCACAATAACAAGTTCCTATCAAAATTAAAGTCAAATATCAATCTCTCAATAAAAATTATCCATATATAAAACACCATTCTAGAAAATTCAAGCAAATCACAAATTAACTAGACAATTGTTCAACACCAATCTAGAAAACTCAAGAAAATTGAAGCAAATCACAAATTATCCATAAATAACGTGATTAATTGAAAGCATCTTCCTTTCAATTAAGTTTTTCACTCTCCCCTTGATAACATCAACTACTAGAAAGAAAAAATTAGACATGTCTCCACAAACATTAATAAGATTAGTTGTTTAGAATATTAAATTTTTCGAGAAAATTAATTATGTGGGTGTGGGCGGGTATCCATGTGTCGGGTTTACCTAAACCCAAACACAACCCAACTCGGTGAATAGTGAACGGGTTTAAACCCAAACCCGCCCCAAAACCCGTCAACACGGATTTTACCCGCATTGACCGGGTTGGGTAGGGTGGGTATCCGTGGGTTCGAGTTTTGTTGCCATCCCTACAGCCGGGGGGTTGGTCGTCCGGGATGGGTAGGGAAGTATTGTTTTTGTGCAGGGATTTCTCTATGCAGGTGTGGACGATCCTTACAGTGCGGAACTCTTGGCGTTGCAAGATGCGATTCAGTGGTGCTCTTTGAAGGGTATCACCGCGGTAGTATTTCGCGGAGATGCTATGGTTGTTCTCGATAAGGTACGTGGGAGAGAAGTTTAGGATGTCAAAGGTGGTAGCATTCTTGAAGAAATTCAGTTGCTTCGTCAGCGGTATGCTCGGTTTGAGGTGGAATTCGTTGGTAGGCAAAACAATTGGGAGACCCATTTGGTGGCTAAGAAAGCCCTTTCCTTGTTTGCTGCGGGAGTTCCGGGTTTTGATTTTCGTGGTTGGTTTCTCTCGAGTTTATAAACTCGTGTTGTTTGAACATTGTTATCTTATTCTTTCTTGGTAATATACAAGTTAGCTTCTGGCAAAAAAAATGCCACATAAAAAAGTTGATAACGATAACATATGAATGTGCGTTTATGCCTCATGAAATCTTTTAATCTATTACTTCTCAAAGTTCAAAACACATGCATAAATCACTAATTTTACATCATCATCATCACGAGAATATGAATCTTTGAAAATGATAAAATTATTAATAACATGCTCATCATTTGACATTCATAATCGTCGAAGAGGGAGACTGACGATTTGTTTTCGTTTCAATTCCCAGTTACTCAAAAAATTTCCACATCAATTTTAAATTAGTTTTTGACAAAATATCCGATGACAGGACGTTATTGTTGTATTCCTTCTATTTGGGTATATCAGTTGGGTCTAGCCATCTACGACTCACGGCACAGGCCACCGGGTTTTAATTTCGATTAAATGAATTTAACAACTGTCGCATGTTAGTCCACGTGGACCAATCATAAGACGCGTCATTGGTGTCGCACTTTTTATAGCGGCACCGTAGTATTGGCCTTTTCTTATTGGATGACTATGATAAAAAGAAAATGAGAGGTCCGGCGAAGTCCACTACAAGTTAGATTCCGATGGACTAATGAATCAGACGAAGAAGGCCTAAGAGATTGGTCTAATTAGGCAGAGGCTTTTCAGCCCACGAGGCCCGCCATCAAAAGCCTGTTTCATTAGCCCCATCCAATCAGACAGTACCCATGAAAAGGGTGACCAATGTGGAGTAGCTACAGAAGTTTAGTGATCATATAGTTACGCAATCAAATTTAGTAACCAAATTTGTAATGGCTCGAGATATCATTTGATGACAAGGACGGTTGACCCCGGGCCAGGGTTTAAGAGAACGAGCGGAATTGCAAAGAGAAGCCGCAAACCCTAGCAATCTTCTTTTCCAGAAACTTCATTCTCAGGTGGCGCCATGGCCGTTCTAGCCGAGAACAAGCAGCCGCACGAGTCGCCGCAAGACGAGCTGCAGAAGAAGAAGAAGCGAAAGCGCAGCAGAGGAAAGAAAGCTCCGGCAGATTCTGATGAAGCTCCAGAGGGGAAGCAGAATGAAGCGGAGAGTGAAGATGAGGAAGATAAGGAAGTTGTGACGGACAAGAAGAAAGGAAAGAAGAAGAAGAAGAAGCAGCAGATGGTAGATGAGAATGAAGATGAGGGTGATGGAGAAAAGGAGGAGGAACAGAGCAATGGGAAAGATGGGGAGGCCGAGGGGAAGACAAAGGAGAAGAAAGTGAAGAGTGGCGGCGGAATTATGAGCACTGACTCTTTTGATTCTTTGGGATTATCTGAGCCTACGAGGAAGGCGATTCAGGAGATGGGATTCCAGTATTTGACTCAGGTACAGTCTCTTCTGATTGGAACTTTTAGTGCACATTTCAGTACCCACCGGAACGATTCATGATGCATATTCATTTTTGGTAGTGTCAAATCCGTTTTGTTTAAGCTTCTGTGGTGTTGCATAGTATGGTGTTACATTGGTTGAAGCTCAGCTGTTGTATTCTCAAATAGTTTTAAGTTGGCCGCGAATGGAAGCATTTTTTAAGTTTATTGAACTTACTGGAGTATATGCATGCTGAGTTTAGTTAGCAAGAATAGCACGGCATGTGGGGAAATGTCCTTAACGTGTTTAGATATTGATTGTATTGAGACAAGTTTCTGACAATTTGGAATCTACTGCGTGAAACAGATTCAATCAAGGGCAGTTCCACCTCTGCTAATTGGCAAGGATGTTTTAGGTGCAGCAAGGACAGGTTCTGGGAAAACCCTAGCTTTTCTGATACCTGCTGTGGAGTTACTATACAATGTTCGTTTTGCTCCTCGTAATGGTACTGGTGTGGTTGTTATTTGCCCTACTAGAGAGCTTGCCATTCAGGTAAATGATCCTGCTCGTAGTTTAGATGTTCACTTAAAATCATCATTTCTTTCTCATTATATCATTCCTATCTGGTTTCCTCTTGAACTGAATGATGAAATAGTACTGTATAATCAATAAGATGAAATTGAACAGATAACTGTAGTTTGTTTCTTTACCATACCAGTTAGCCTTGTATGTAATTCGAGACTCTGCTAATTTGCTAATGGTGTTTGTTTGTAACTTAGTGACCCGAAGGGCCTGATATAGTGCCAAATGGGGATGCGAATCTTTTAATTCCTTTTCTCCCTAGACATTTTAGTCTTAGGCTTGATCTAATATATCATGGTGCAACATTGTTCAGACGCATAAAGTGGCAGAAGACCTTCTCAAGTATCATTCACAGACCCTTGGGTTGGTTATCGGTGGCGCAGCAAGGAAAGGAGAAGCCGAGCGACTTGTTAAAGGGGTAAACTTGTTGGTTGCAACTCCTGGTCGGCTTCTGGATCATCTTCAAAATACCAAAGGATTCATTTATAAGAACTTGAAGGTAACTTGTGGACCCTCTTTCATTTGTTTATATTCTTGTGGTTCGAATCATTCTCTGGAAGCATTAGTTTGGGCTTCATAGCTATACTTTTGTGTCATATCTATTCAAGCATATTTTGTGCTATTCTTGTGCTGCTTCTCCTTAAGGATGGAAAGTTTTTTTTTGCTGATTCTTGAGGAAAACTTTGTAGTGCCTGACGATTGACGAGGCAGACAGGATATTGGAGGCCAATTTTGAGGAAGAAATGCAACAAATTCTCAAGCTTTTACCAAAGGTATCCCAAGCTTCTACAATCATTTTATCAAACGTATACAATTAGTTAATTTTAGAAGTGGAGAGTGATTGGTTGTTGATATAATAACTTTTCTTGTGGTTAGTAATCCATATCTTGATTTCTCTCTGAAAGGTTGATAATAGTATAATAGAATTTTTGAGGTGAAGTTATACACGTCAATTGATTATATAAAATTCCCGAGAGAACTAGCGCATTGGCATCTGCTGTTTCGTGCATGCTGTTAGCAGTCTTCAATTGATTTGTGATGTGCCGACTGGTCCTATTAAAATCAGATTGTCCAGATTTCTAATTTTAGAATAAACAAAACCATACATATGCATGAGTTTTGTTCATTTTGCACCTTGCAGTGCTGTATTCTAGTTCTCTGACAAATTGTTGTGCCATCTGCAGACTAGGCAGACTGCCTTATTTTCAGCTACCCAAACAAAAAAGGTCTGTTTCTTGCAGCTGCTTCCTTGGAATAATTTTTATTTCCATTATCATTGTACATGATTCTATGCCAGTACTTGTCGCTTTTTTTTTACATGAATTCTGTAGGCAAGAGCAAGCATTCAGTGTTTGCTAACTTCTGCTGATTTTGCTTAGGTGGAGGACCTAGCTCGGTTGTCGTTTCAGACGACTCCTGTTTATATTGATGTCGATGATGGGAGACACAAGGTATGATGCTTGGTTTGATTCATTGGACAAGCAGAAAATATATGAACATGGCTCTGACCTTATCAAATCGTGGCATATTGTAGGTTACCAATGAAGGTCTTCAGCAAGGCTACACTGTAGTTCCAAGTTCCAAGAGATTTCTTCTTCTTTACTCCTTCTTAAAGAGGAACTTATCAAAGAAAGTGATGGTTTTCTTCTCGTCATGCAATTCTGTCAAGTTTCATTCGGAACTTCTTACATACATTCAAATAGAATGCTTCGATATCCACGGAAAACAAAAGCAACAGAAGCGAACCTCGACCTTCTTTGATTTCTGCAAAGCTGAGAAAGGGATCTTGCTATGCACTGATGTTGCTGCTCGTGGACTTGATATACCCGCTGTGGTATGTGTTTTTTTCTTTGTTTTTCTTTTTAGATACAACTGATAATTAATCTTCCTTTTGGCTAGCTCACCTAACTGATTTTCCTCCTATTTGTTGTGCAGGATTGGATTGTGCAGTATGATCCTCCTGATGAGCCCAAGGTGCCTGTTAATCCTCGTTGCATTCTACACTTCAAATTGGTTAATAATGGAGCTGTTCTTCGATCACATGCACTAACGTTTACACTGAATTTCTGGTCTTTAGGAATACATACACAGGGTAGGCCGAACAGCACGTGGAGAAGGTGCAAAAGGAAATGCCTTGATGTTCCTGATTCCAGAAGAACTTCAGTTTTTGCGGTATCTGAAGGTATGATGGCCTTAGATTGGAATTTTTACTGCGTATATTACTTGCTCTTGCTCTAGCTCTATACCCTCGTCACTATTCCCTTTCAGGCAGCGAAAGTCCCTGTGAAAGAGTATGAATTCGATGAAAAGAAGCTGGCAAATGTTCAGACTCACCTGGCAAGTCATTTTCATCCAGTCTGGAGTCTACTATCATTCCCTAAATTTGATGAAAAGATGCAAACTCTTGGAAAGAATTCCTACTGACTTGGCTTGTGGGTTGTTGCAGGAGAAATTGGTGGCCAACAACTATTACTTGAACAAGTCGGCGAAAGAAGCGTACAGGTCTTACATCTTGGCATACAACTCACACTCCATGAAAGATATATTCAATGTCCATCGCCTTGACTTACAGGTATCTTTCTATTACTTACAGGTATCTTTCTATTTACATAGTTACATTGTCAGTGGTATGGAAACACCATCAAGAGTGAGCGAGTGAGTGACATGTTTCACGGTAACAATAATTTCTGGCATGTCGTATTATAATTTCTGGGCAGGCGGTTGCAGCTTCATTTTGCTTCTCTGGGCCACCAAAGGTGAACTTGAACATCGACAGCAGTGCCTCCAAGTTTAGAAAGACCAACAACAGCAAGAAGAAAGGTAGCTTCAGCGACAACAATCCTTATGGACGATCAAGCGATAATGGTAACGATGATAAGCGGAAATTCATGAGATACTAGGTGCTCGGAGAGGCCAAGAAGCTTCTTCCTACACACTTCAAGTTTTGCAGCAGATTTTGATATTTCAAAGTTCTAGCACATTTCCCATCTTTCCTTCCAGCTCAGATACTCTTTTCCCCTCCACATCACAAGGTTTATGTAACTTATGACACTATGAGAGCTGCGAAAGCTTGGTAATTGTTAATTGACAGTGTTTGAGCATCCATTAATTCAAATCTCTTCCTCTGTTTCCTTGTGGTAAACCATTGAAATCGATGAATATATGACACGGAGAAGAAAACAGAGTAACTGTAATAACGAAAGTAGCTACTCAAATTACAGAAGCCATTGTTTCTCCTTGTCCCTTGCTCTAAATTGATACTGAAACAGAATAACAAACTACAATTTCAACCCAAGCTATCTAAACATTGTTGCTAAAGGAAGAGTGAAAGGGCGAGCAGAGGCAGGGCGGCAGCACCGGTGGCAGAGTATGGTGAAGCAGCGGCAGAGGACTTGTGATTGGGATGATCATCGGAGGTTGGTGGAGTTGGAAGGGGCGTCGAGTCGTCTTCAACGTCGAGGACTTTGATGATCATCTTCAGGCCATGGTCACAGTGTCCGGTGACTCCACTGATGAAGTAGAACAGACCGGGGCGGTGGAGGCGAAAAGAAGTGTCGCCGTTGTTGGAAAAGAAGAGAGGGTGTGATGATCTGCACTTGTTGTACTCTTCCTCTTCCTTCACCACCATCACCGAGTCCTTCTTGTACTTGAAACCTTTCCTCCAAAACACACACACGAACAGAGTTTAGAGTAAAGCTGAAAGAGAAGAATGAGGAAAGAGCGGTTGGAGAAGGCTAAGTTATTTACGGAGGGTGTCATTGACGCGGAAGCGGTTGGTGGAAGCCCAGTCGTTGAAGAAGTGGTGCTGTTCGTCTTTGGACTTGGGAACCGTCCACCCTTCCTTCCCGCCGACGAACAACTCGGCGGAGCTGGCCGCGAGGACGACGCAGCAGAAGAGAGTGAGTAGCACCAGCGTCTTCTTCGACATCTCCATTGTTGGGATTGAGTATTAGCACAGGTGGAAGAAGGCAGTGGTTCTTTGAGAGGAATGATAACTGCAAATGCTGTTTTGGTTTAGAAATTTTGTATGGCGTGTGTATATTTATAGAGAGGAGGGAGTGAGCGGGAGAAGTGGAGTGGAGTGGAGTTAGTGGGGGTAGGGCTGCAAACGAGCCGAGCTGAGCCGAGCTTTTGCCCAGCTCGGGCTCGAACTCGAGAGAGGATAACTCAGCTCGGGCTCGGCTCGAACTCGATACGAGCTATACAATTCAAGCTCAAGCTCGGCTCGAAAGGAAAAATTTGAGCTCGGGCTCGACTCGATTCTAGCTCGCAAATGAGCTCAACAAGCCAAAATCAGCGAGCCAAAATCCTTTGAAGCTTTTGATCAAAGCTCGGCTTGACCAAACCTGAAAGTTTCTCTAATTTTAACAAAATATATAATCATTCACACATTTAATATCAAATTACAACCTGTTTGATTACAACCATGATTGATTACTTAATAGGGTCTTCAAAATAACATGTTACCGTCTCCTGTGAAGTTACAATCATGGAAATGACTAACAACTAGACCCAAAACATAGATACGAAGGGTTTCTTAAAGACCATCAAGAAAAACAAGATAAGCAAAAGACATTTTGAAGGCAACGACACATGTTGCAGCCTGCATGTAATTTCGTCGTGCAAATGACCACCTGAATAAAAGAAAGTAATAGAGAACATTATAATTAAAGCAAAAATAAGATAACAAACAATTACACATTAAGTGCAACAATTTTGCTGTGAGCCTCGCCCCATACCCATTTTAGGCTTAAGCTGGAAAAAAAAAAACAATTATTCAACCCACAAAAAGATAAAGGACAACTATTGTGAGAGACAGAGGAAAGACATGAATTTTTTATTACGCTGTTCTTATTACAGCCCCAAATAATTAATACTTTTCTTACTACACTACATCATAGCAAGAAGAGAGAGGTAGAAGAGAAAGCAAGGACTAAAGAATTCGACAAAGGTTAGCACAGAAAAGGAACAACGAGAGAAACTAACCAAAACACCTTCATTAAGACAAGTCAACTTCAACAACTTCCTCTTTCTTGGTCAGAGCCTACAAAGATACAAAAAAGATAAATTTATACCAAATAAACTATAAGAATAAATTGGAAATTAAAAAATATAGTAAAAAGTACCTTAACACTCTTTTTCAAACCATTATAGTTTCTTAACCAATCTTGAGAACAAAGTAGAGCTTGAACAGTTTTTTCCCCAATGATATAAACAATGCATAAACGTAACCCTAACCCTAACATCAAAATGCTAACCACTTACCTAAAACAACTAAAATAATAATGTTGAAAGTCTATACGCTAACCTCAACCTTAAACAACTAAACCATACTTAGATAGTCATATTTTAAGTAATAGCAATGCTTAGAATGGATCGGGAAATCAAACATGCAAGAAATTAAAGAATACACAGATTTACGTGGTTTGTTAATAAGATTTAATAACGAGACCCCCTTAACTTCCATTCAACGATAACTAATTCAACTTCAAATCATAGCAACAGTCCATTTTAAAAAAATCATACCAACAGTTCATTTAGAAAAGCAAAGTCAGAGCAACAACTACAATATGTGATGATGTGTGTAGTGTAACTCAAAGACAATAATAAATCGCCTATGTGGATATTGTATCATTAATTCATATAATTAAAGAGTAATTTGTATTTAATCAATCTATAATTTATTTATTTATATTACAAAATATATGCAACAACTATTTGGCCACCGCGTATACAAAATATCAAGCCACATTAAATTGAGATATATGTAGTCCAAGTGTCTAACCAACCTATGAGTTAAATGACTAGTAGTAGGCCAACATAGGAGCTCTGTACAAAGCAGCTTATCGAATTTCCTTGCGAGTCACACAGTCAAGTTGACTAGTAAACTTAAATTGACTCGTCAGCCACATTAGCAAGAGAGCTACCTTGTGTGAGCTAACACGCGAGTCACACTATCGAGTCAGCTTGCGAGCTTCAAACGAGTCAGCTCGCGAGCTTAGCTCAACGAGCATCGATCCGAGCTAGCTTGCGAGCCTGCTCGAGTTGCAGATGCCTTGGCTCGTGCTTGGCTCGTTAATAAATGAGCCGGCTCACGAGCCAGCTCATTAAGAATCGAGCCGAGTGTCGAACGAGTTTTTATCGAACTGAGCCTCGAGTTGCTCGCGAGTAGCTTGGCTCGTTTGCAGCCCTAAGTGGGGGAGAAGAGGCGTGGGGTTTAAGGTTTTCTGTTTTTGACTTGTTTTTTTTTTTTTTCCGCTTTGTTTAACTTCCTCTCGCCATGTTACTGTTTATTTGTACGTTGTATTTTTTTTTTTTTTTACATCAGACATCATTCATTTCATTCCAAACCCAAACAAGTCCTCCATTAATATATAGTAGAGTTTTGTAAACTTTTCTCCATTTCAAATTTCCTGCAATGAGAGTGAAAGTAGGAAGGATATTTTTGTCTTTACAATTAATTATTTATTTCATAAAAAATATCAATATCAAGACTCGAACCCGGGTCTCTTCAGAGAAAGATAGCAATCATAACCAATTATACTAAATGTATTTGTTGTTCCTTTTGTAATACAAAATATACATGTATTTAAACTGTGAAAAGCAGAGAACTTTTCCATCATGATTAACAAGTGCACTAAGTCTACTATATGTATTTTCATGGTGCTTAATACTTCAATTTTTATAGTACAGTTTCATTTAATTTTATCAATTTTAGAATTTATGCTCTCTCTTTTATTTTCGCTAAAGGTAAATTGGTAATTGGCTAACATGGAAGAAACTATTTCCTTTACTATGTGTTGTGTCCTTGCATTTTTCAATATAAATTTAAATTTTGTGCCTTTTTTATCTTTGTTCTTATCTCTTTCTAATTTTCTCCGAAATTCCCTCCATCGTGCAATAGTTTGCGTGCTTTCACTTCCCAGTATAAGGAGCATTTGAAAATCAACATTCCGGTATCTTTTGGCACTGCAGTTTTATTCTTGGGGATTTAAGCTGGACAAGTAGAAGATTTCAACTCTCATATCAATCCATGGCCAATAGAATGGAGTTCAATCAAGTAGTTATGGCATGGCCCTGATTATCTCGCTCGATTCCTCTGCACTGGCATCACCCAATGGTTCTGTCTCTCCCCGATGTACTATCAGAAGAACTATTTTGCTGCTTCTATTGATGAAGGCAATGTTTGATCAGTTATACCTTTCGCCTTTACTCCTCTTCCTATACCAGACATTGACCTTTAATAGGTTTTCGATTTCCGATCAAGGTTAATCGCTTTACACATGTAAGTTATTCGTTTCTTCTCTATGTCTCATGGTTTTATCTTTCTGATTAATAACAAAGCGACTTTTATTTTCATGTTGTCTCATGAGCACAACATGCATAATATCTATTTATTTTGATCTTATTGCCTGAAACGATGCTTAAAGCTCGGTGGATCTCCTGCGTGATTTCTCCTCTTTCTGTTATTAGGTTTCAACTTCAATGTGTTTCTATCTTCATATTAGGTTCATCGAATTGAACTGGCAGGCTATTATTTCCTTCCCGGTTTATCTAAGTTTTTTGTTTATGAATGATTTATTAAATATAGAAAATGAATTTGAACGATGGTTTGGGTACTATATTTGTTTGTAAGCAAAAGAGATGTTTGTGTAGAACATGGCAGTTATACTTTGCTAGAGCCCTGTCCACTTTGTTGTGTGTTTCCTGTACTTTATTTTTGTTCTTTGCTTAGCTATTGAAATAATAAAATAAGATCAAAATGAGAAAAAAGGTTTCTTTTCAATTACAATATCTCCGCTCATATTTGATTTTGCGATAACTAATGTTCTCCGCAACCATAATTTTCCTCATTAATTTTTATTCTTATCTCACTAATCAAATTTTGATATTGTTTTAGAATTATTTAGAAATTGAGCTTTCATGCAACACTCTAGGAGTTTGAGGTGTTGAACTTGGAGTAGAAGAGTTAGGATTGAGTTTGAAAATGAGAGTGGTGGGGGGAAGAAAAATTCAATTGTAGCATGTTAAGGCAGAGAAGAGGGAGTTACCGAGGGTTGTGATCGAATTGAGGAGGGTGTTGAAAGACG